CAAGTTCAACGAGGCTGCCTCGACCATGCTATCGACCTCTGCACGCTACTGCGCCAATAGCAGCACTCGAGTCTCATAGCTCCACGGCAGCAGCGAGAACAAGGGCAACGAGTGCTACCGAAGGACGGCGCGTGTTGCAATCTTCTCCTCGACGAAGCGCGAGACGATGTGATTGGCCACCATATTCGGGACATGGACGTTTCGGGCGATCGTTTTTCCGTGGCAAGCGCTTGGTGTCTTCGTCCACAATCGTTCCAGCTGTGCGCGAGACCCAGGTTGCCAGTAGCTCTACTTAAGCTGCGTCGGTTTGTCCAACGTACTTCGAGGCCATCCACGCAACTTTGGTAAAGAGCGCGTTTAGTTCAAATCCGCGTAACTGCCGCCAAAGCACGCACTTTCAAAACAGGTCCCTTCCGGGGTGAGCTGGTAGGAACTTTTGTATTGAATGCGAAGCGTTGATTAACGGTATTGCGACGACTGCGCGTCGCTTGCTGCAGTCTTCGCGCGCTTCTGCAATCGCACCTAACTGGAAAGTTGCGTGAATTTCGGTTAAATACGCAGGCGCACTTTAGCGCAATTGTTCTACTTTAATCAACTATAACGTCCGGGGATGTGACAGCACTTAACAGGGACTACGAAATCGCACTTTACGGGACAGGTTTCGCGCGATGTGATTGGCTTAGACCAATGAAACTGCGTTTCATTGGCCAAAATGGATCGATATATAGCCAATGGGTTGTCCCGAAAATACGAATTAATCCCCTGGGATGCTGGTACACCACGTAAACGTTCCTAGGCTACATCCAAACGCACGGAAGATTCCGGATAACACTACAAGAAAAATGTTGCGAATTCCCGAACTTCGAAGTACCGGGATCAACAGATGGCAGATGGCCGCCAGGACTCGGGTGCTTTCTCGGGCTCTCATGCCGGATGTTTTAAATGAGAGCGACCTTACTTGTACGCGAGCAACGAGTAAGCCGCGTTGAGCCTACTCTGATGCATATATGCTCTGTACATGTATCGGACCCGATGGATTAGCTCACTCAAATCCATCGGACCCGACGGATTAGCCTACTCAAATCCATCGGACCCGACGGATTAGGTCACTCAAATTCATCGGTCAAATCCATCGGACCCGACGGATTAGGTCACTCAAATTCATCGGTCCCGATGGATTAGGTCACTCAAATTCATCGGACCCGATGGATTAGCTCACTCAAATTCATCGGACCCGATGGATTAGGTCACTCAAATTCATCGG